GGGAGGGGGAGTAAGGACCAGAGGGGGGGGGAGGGGGAGTAAGGATCCGGCGCCCCCTGTTAAGGTGCGCCCTAGGCGGCTGCCTAGGTCGCCTTACAGGTAGCGCCGGCCCTGACTAGACCAGCATATAGACCAGAAAAAGACCAGACGAGTATTATATTTTTACAGTTTTCTAATTTAGAACACGAGAATACATAAAGTATTCTTCAAAACACTGTGTTTCCTGGCCATATCTTATTTTCGGGGAATGCTCCTAAGCCCTACCCCGAAAATAAGCCCTAGTCATTCGCTAATCTATGTTCGGGGAATTTTCCCCAAACATAGATTTGCGAAATTCCCATTTGTTAGTAAGCTTATCTATGTTTTGGGAAGTTTCCCCGAACATAGATACCCAAGATTCCATTCGCGAATAAACTAATGTATGTTTGGGCAAGTTTCCCCTAACATAGATTTGCAATATTCTATTAACGAGTAAGCTAATCGAAGTTCGGGAAAGTTTCCCCGAACATAGATTTGCAGGATTCCATTCCCTGGTGAACTGGTCTATGTTCGGGGGAATTCCTCAGACATATTAATATAAGACCCAGTCTTATTTTCGGGGGGAAGACGGTACTAGTATTAGTGCTGATGATCATATTTTGAATTTCACTAGAACTAGTATACCAGTATGTTCTAATTGATAATTATTGCATAATTAAATTTACTTATTTAGAACGCTAGCATACTGATGCAGAGTTCTTATTTGGATTTCTAGAACACCGATAACTTGGGCTTCAATTTAATTCATTTAAGTCAGAATCAGAAATGATTCCATTGATAGGGAAAAAAAATGTTTTCAAATGGTGACTTTTGAAGAGAAAACATTTGAGTTTTTTTCTAACAGAATTTAATTCTTCCTGATTCAAACAAATGAAAAGGAGGCCTTAGAACGCTAGTACACTGATGCAGTATTCTAACTATAGCCTCGATTTAATGTTTTTCAAATGGTTCCAAAATTTCCAAGTGATTTATCCACAGAAATCACCATTAATGTTAATGGGATTTTTTGTAGGTAAATCACTCTGAATTTTTTCTAAAAGTATTGAATCATTTGGACAGCTTATTAAATCAGGGCCTTAGAGCGCTGGCACATTGATGCAATGTTCGTACTTAGAATGCCGCATGCTGATAGTGTATTTATATTCTAAATGCTACCATATTGATACAGAGTTATTTTTCGCAATTCTAGTAAACTAATACAATGATCTTGCTCACAATGCTAGCACACTAATTCAGAGTTCTAATTCAGACTTCTAGCAAATTGATGGAATGTTCTAATTCTTGATGCTAGCATAAGACCACAATGTCAAAATCTGGAATTCTAGCATTTTGACAGTCCATTCTGACTTGATATTTAAAGGGACACTTTAGTCACCAAGAAACTTTAGCTTAATGAAGCAGTTTTGGAGTATAGATCACACCCCTGCAATTTTACTGCACAATTCTCTGCCATTTAGGAGTTACATCACTTTGTTTATACAGCCCTAGGCATACCTTCCTGCACGTCTTACACAGCTTCTCTTCTTTACACTTACTGTAAAGAGTCATCTAATGTTTAAACTTCCTTTATTGCAAATTCTGTTTATTTAAAATTTCTGATCTCTTACATTGTTAACAGCTTGCTAGACACTGCAGGATCCTACTGTAGGATACTGTATCCTATAGGAGTCAATTCAAAGTACTAACCCATACCTATAAAGAATTGAACAATTCTAGCCCCTCTTATATCTCTTCACAGATCCATAGGTATGCCCCTTCTTGGTCTCTCCGCTCTGCCCATGACCTTTTCCTGCTTGCACCCGTACGGCTAACTCACGCTTGCAGGACTTCTCGCGGGCGGCTCCCTTCCTATGGAATAGCCTGCCTACCGCCAT